GATCACACAGGTCTTGATGCTCTATAAGCATTTTTCTTCTTTGTTGAAACACAGAGATTCACACAAATTTTTCTGAGCAGAGAATGGATCAAGAGCAGCCCCGGGAGAAGGAGCTGGGGGTGCTGTGGGTGAGAGCTGGAGCTGCCCCAGCCTGAACCGTTGTATTGGGTATAGGGAAAAATTTTATTTACAGTTACTTTAAGGAAAACATTCTAGAGGGTTTCAAGCAACCCAGTCTAGTGGAAGGTGTCCCGGTCCATGGAATGGAAGGTGGAAGGAGATGGGCTTTAGAGTCCATTCCCACTGAAACTATTCTGGGATCGTATAAAATACGTTGCAGTAGCAATTCATTGTTCCTGTAGAAACTCACACATTACAACTTAAAGACAATTTTTAGTTCAGCATAAACAGGGCTGAAAAAGCACTGTTTAAAGTAACATCCTGTACTCTTTTTCCTAAACAACAGTCATAAACATTTTTGCTCAGGAAAATCCCATCAGACTTCTGTAAGAGGAAACCATACCAAAGAAATTAAATTACTAACATAGAAAACCATAAAGTAAATACATGGTTTGGTTGGGGAGCTGAAACTTCTCAAATACAGCAGTATATATCATCAAGGACAGCAATTTTCACAGTAGCTTAAGAAACATAACCCTACAAAAAGATGAAGACTTTTTTTTACTGAAGAGTAAAAAGGGTATTCAAGGCTTCATCCTTCTCTCAGATGTGAGGAACTACAGCAGTGCAGTCAGACTTTACAAGCATTGACGTTTAAGGACACCACTCATAACTTATTCAAAAAAAGAAAAAAACAGAGTTTACAGCTGGTACATAGGTCTCCAACTTTGCTCTCCAAGCAGGAACAGCAGGGCTGTGATGATACTCAAGTACAACCTACTGCATCCCACAGCATGCACAAGTTACAGAGGCCTCTGATCTGCACCCCTTTAAAGCACACATTGTTCTCTAATTCCTTTTGACTCCTACCAGCATCAGGAGAATTTACATAAATCTCTTTTCTCATGTCATTCCCTGCATCTCACTGAAACCTCTGTGACTACCAAAGAAATCAACACAAGTGCAAGCAATAGAATTCTTAGTGTCTCACACAGCCCTGTACATGAGCAGCTGTGGTGATAATGTAGAAAAAAAAGGAAAACTGGATGGTGTTTCTAGCCCCATGAAATCATCTGATGTTAAAAGTCCATGTCTAATTAGTGAGGTGCATGGCAACCTCTAGTGGCATATGCCTGCTTAGGAAACAGCACACATTCCAACACATGAAGCTACTGGAAAAACATTTGCCTGAAGTGATCAGCCCTCTTCTTGTCACTAATTTTATTAGAATGACATGGACAGAAGATGCCAGAACACAGCTGATCTGAGGAAGACCCTCCAAGTGTTACATATACTACAGCAGTCAGGCAAGCTGCAGAAAAGCCAGATATAATGAACGAAAGCTGTTGCCAAATAGGTTAAAGGAATTAATGCCAACTGACTTGCAGTGTTAAGTGACAAACTGAATACCCGCACTATGTAGTTACTTTTAAATAAAATTTTAATATAAGCAGCACTCCACAGTGCAGCCCAGTACCACCCTCAGCAATCTGCTGATAAAAAAGCTCTGAGTAATTAAACACAAACCCATGGTAGCAGTGCATACAGAATCTTAGAATATTCTGAGCTGGAAGGGACCCACAAGGACCATTGAGTCCAACTCTTCAGTGAATGTCCCATACAGGGATCAGAGAAAGCAAGGATTTCAAAGTCAGGGCAATCTACAACACAGGACATCCAACACCAAGAGAACCCTGGATCTTACTAGGAAACATCTATTACTTCTATTTTTAACTTCCAGCAGCTGCTTGTGATAGATTTACACAAATCTGACAATTTTCATGCTTTGCTGGAACGTGATACAAATTACCCAACATGATGAAGTTGTATTTTACTGAGCTCTTAAGTGCACTACATTGAATATTCCCAGCTCATTCTTTCACAAAAAATAGTAGTCAGTATTTAAAACAATTGGCTGTCTCTGTTCAGAATAGGATTAGGAAAAAGCCTGCATGGAAATGGAATTAATTCTCACATTAAGGAAGGAGTCATTAGAGCATCTGGTGAGGTTTAAATTATGACTGTCTATTCAGTTGTATTGCTAAGCAGATTTTAAGTGTTTCAGAGCTACTTAATCTAGAAACCTATACCCTGAAATACTTCATGTAATAGAAGTACTATTTTGTTTTTCCTTCACAGAAAACACTTTCTGATTAAGATGCTTGTACTCTGATGGTGAAGCAGAATAGGAGCATAAATATATATATTCTGCTTTGGCATCATGGAACAAAACTGGATCCATCACTGCTGGCGAAGTTTAGTAATTGTGGATAACAGACTTCCCAAGGTAGAAAAAGGAAGAACCATATTTGACTCAAATACCAGCCCCTTAAGAAATACATGTATTTGTACTGCTTTTCTTGGTAACTGAAACTTCATAGCAAATCTAGTGTATTTTGAGAGAAAATCAGGTTAAAATACTTCTTCAATCATGATTAAACCTGCCAAGGAACCCAGGGCTGTAAAGTTTCTGAGAAGAAAATGCAGTAAAGTCTAACAGGAGACAGGCTGCTCCTGGAACGGGCTCTTTCTTCCAGCCTGCCTATGTCCTAGTCCCACCGGACACTTTACAACAGATTTTAATACAATTTTAAAGTCGTGTCTTTTGATTTACAAGCAATCATGATCACAGTGACAAATTAAATTCCAGTCTTGGTGGTCATTTTTGCCTATTGTCCAGATGTACAGTTTTCTAACTCCAGAATAAGATCTTCTTTCCCTAATACTCCTCTTGTTTTTGCTGGTTCTGTTTCAAATCTAAAGTCACCTCCTTCATTACAATTTCCACTTATAATAATATTGAGTGCCTGGCTACAATAAGACAGAAGCTTAAAAGCAACAGCATGGAGTGTCTTTGGGCTATCTAAGAATATCATAGTACACATAATACAGATCTCATTGCCTTTGTTTTGCTTCTTCAGCTGATGAGTATGACCATTTTCTCTACCAACCCTTCATTACTTCCAGGCAGAAGAACACAGCTCCAACCCTGCCAGCACCCAATGGCTGGGACAGCCAGCATCCTTCTCTCTGCTGTCCTACCAGACTGTCACATTTACAATGCTCCAAATGCACTGAGATCTCAGACTAATTTATAGAATTACAGAATAGAACTACAGAACCATTTAGGTTGGAAAAGCTCTTGAAGACCATTGAGTCCAACCATTTCCCCAGCACTGCCCAAGGCCACCACTGACCCATGTCCCCAGGCGCCTCATGGCTTTTAAAGATCTCCAGGGATGGGGACTACAACAGCTGGATTCGATGATCTTCTACTCTGACAGAATCTCCTTTCCCTGTTTTCTGCCATTCACCCCTTTGCCTTCTTTCTGCACTTGTCAGTGTCAAGCAGCAGAACAAGTCTGTCTGCCTCCAATAAGAATATCACAGCTAAAAATCAAGCAGCAATGTTAAAGTTATATTGTAACTATACAGGTCAAGAGACATTAGGAATAAGGCTCCCAAATATTAGAGGATCCTGATAAAAAGCTGCATGAAATGAGTGTAAGAGAAATTCTTAGGTCTTCAGACTAGCAAGTAACTGCTTCCTGCTCCTAATATACCCAAAAGAACACATCTCACTTTGGGCTGCAGAAACAGCCATAGAATAAAAGAGAACAAAATCAGACCCCAGGATTCCAGGAACAAGCTCTGAAGTGGCAAATGAAGTATCACAGTAAGAACCAGACCAAGTTTTTGAGAGTCAGAGAATTGTATCTCACACCACACCAGGATCTCTGATTTCAGAACATTTCAAAGGCTTGGAAAACTCAGACTTCAAGTCTATGATTTGAGAAATGAGCACAGCAAATATTTAAGACAATGTCTGTGGCAAGTAAGGGGAAAATAGCTCCATTTCTAACTCTGAACCCTCTTTACTTCTGCCAAGGGTATGAAAAGAGGGCAAGTGTAAGGCAGGTGAAAGGCACCAACACAATGCATTCATTGGTAACCTGTCCTACTGTTACCACCAACCATTTTCAAAGGAGAAGTGTCTTGGAGAGAATTAAATCCTTAAGAACAAGCTGTATGTCATGTTAACCCAGTCCTTGACAAAGTCTACAGGTACACAATTATTATTTTTGGCAGGCAGTCCGTACCTGACAAGCCCTGTAACAATTTATTCCAGATCACATTAAAAAGGACCTTCCTAGTTTCCCTTGGAGCGTGGAGCAGGGCAGGCTGCCAAGATGAGAAGGATGCCTGGCGCAGGGTTACCTGCCTTTACAATGTGCTCTGCAGCACAGAAACACAATAGGAAGGACCAACTTCAATATCTGCTTCTTCAAAGTTCTGGCCTTGTTTTACAACCACAGCAGATACTGACTATTGACTACTATACAGGATAATAAACTTAATCATTTTGAAAGCATAGATTTAGGCTTTATTGCCCATATTTGAGGGTATTGTCACAAAATGATCATTTAATTATGTCTGATTTTAAAAATAGACCTTTTGCCACATATGCAGGAAGAAACGTAGAGAATCCTTTCTGTGTAGCACTTGAGAACCACCACTCAGTGCATTTTTATAATAACTGAACACATGACTGAATTTGTAATTCAAACAAACACCTGAAAACCTTCTGGTTTGAAGGCAGGTATTGAGCTGTTCTGTTAAGAGGATCAAAAGGCAGAAGTTTCCCAGACAGGGAAACTTGTATTTTTACTGTCCATTCAGAGCAACTTCAACTATAGAGCAAGTAAGATTTATTCTGGGATTATTTAGTTACCCAGTTATCATTTCTGCTGTTTAGTTCATTGGTATCTACTAAAGCATATAAAATTAATGTTTCTGTACTACTAAGGCATACAAAATTCAAGCTTCTCTACTCTAGAGTTTCAGGAGAGATGATTTTCCAGCAGAGTCTTCATATTTACCTGATGATCCTCTGAGCAGCATACTGATGAAGCGAGCGGAACTGTGCCGACATATTTGCTAAGGCTGCCAGACAATTTGTATGAAGGTATTTGTCCTGTCAGAAAGAAGCGGAAAGATAAAAAAAAACACATCAAACTGATCATTGGATACATCCTGACACCTCTGGCAGGAATAATTCAAAAGACTGAATAATATTTGTTGCTTTTAAAGCACAGGCAGAAATATAAAGCATATATACTCGGTGATTTTCGAACATGTTTTCTTAAAATATAAGGCTTATAAAAAAGTGACTCCATACCAATTTCAGAGTGTATACATACATATATGTATAGATATGTTTGTCTTTCAATGTTCATTTACAGTTGCACCACAGCTGTAACACATACACAAAGACATTTTCCTCCTTTCTACCTTTCTCTCTCTCCCTTTTGTAGTGTTTATCCTAAAACTTCCTACTTCATAACTCATCTTCCTCTTGACTCTTTCACTCCACACCATATATCCCACAACTACAACCACACCTTACTTCAGAGCACTGGTCCCCATTTCAGCATCTCTGAAGCCATTTGGCCAGGTAAGCACTTATCTGATGGCCCTTTCAAAGTCAAGGGTTCTCACAGAATGAAACTTGTCACTTGTCCAATCCAAAGGGAATTAATTTCCCTATTCAAGTCTAAAATATTCATTTACATAACATAACAGATTCTAAATACTACATATATATGCCAAATTTGTTCTCATTCCTTCCAATTCTTGTTATCATAAAAGTAACATCCTCAATTTTTGCAGTTTGAAATATATTTAATGTTTTGGCTACTGTTTGTAATGTAAAAACTTCTGTGCCTTTAATTGTTGAAAATATTCAGAAGTGCGTTACATTATGTTTGTGTTTGCAAAAAAGGTAAAAACCTATTGTGCATGGAAAAATGCACAAAATCAATTTAGGCTATAAAGCTCTGAAGTTAAAGCAGTTTTCCTTTCCGAGAGCTCAAAGAGGTCTTCTGGCCCAGTTCCTGTCATACTTCCTAAAAAACTAACAATAAATAGACCTGAAATTCCCACTTTTAAGTCATTCAGAGATATAAATAGCTTATAAGGAATCACTTCTTCTCATGAAACTAAGGAACTCTTTCTTCTCAAATGAAGGTAAGCCTGATGCCTGAAGAAAGGTCTTTAGAGAACCATATTCAATGAGCTAGAAGACAACACAGAAATTGTGTTACAAGTTCACAAACACTTAGTTAACACAGCTGATCTATTTTCTTCCTTCCTGCAAAACCAGATGCCAACTGGTTGCAATAGAATTAATAAAATTCCACCCCTTGTTTGAAATTGAATTCAAGCTGCTGAGGTTAGGAATTCACAAGTGCTCAACACAACTCTTACCCTTGTCCGTGTCATGTTGTACTGGATGGTTCTTATCACAACCAGTATCAGAAGACTCCCAAGTGAGATCTCTGTTAGGACACGCTCAGCATACCAAGTAATGTTTTTCAGTATCTGCAAAAAGAAAAAATTAAAAGAAAAAGGCTTTTCAGCACCTAGGTTTAAATAAGAACATAGGAAGCTGTCTGGAGTCTCACATTCCTTAAGACATGAAAATTAGTTTCCAGTCTCAAATGTTACTTAATTTTTGTACTCCAAAGCATAATTAGAACAAAATTAACCAAAAAAAACAAGTCAGACCTCTGCAGCATTATCACCTAGTAGATCTCATCAACTTTAAGTCAGACAGAAACACAGCAAGTGTAGAAAGATGATTACATTTGGCACTTTGCTGATTTCTATGCCCTGTGCCACCACACTTATATACTCATCTTTACCCTTGACACTTTATAAAGTCTCCATTTACACCCAAGACGCCTGAATAATTCTGCCAATGCCTTGCCATTTTCCCTCATGGCTGGCTGGGCAAGAGGCAGCACACAGGAGCTCTGACTGATGGGCAAGACCACACACACTGAAGGTCGGGGGGCAGATCAACAGTGTGTTGGCTTCACACTGAAGGCTTTCCCTTGAAAAGTATGAAGTCTCTTCCCCTAATACTAAGAGAAAGTCATCAGCTGGATTAAGAGCTTCGTGTCTTTCACAGGCCTCCACTATCAGGGTGGATGAAGTTAATCACCATTTCCAAGTTTATTGCAGAAGGAGAATCAATCCACTCTTTCCTTGTAGCCAGCCAACCTACATGGAGGAAACACATGTACCCAACACCCTGCCTTGAAGGACTGGTAAAAATTACTCAACAGGAACTGTCCTAAAAACATGGAAAAGATCCTCTATAAATTCAGGGTTATTCTCGGTCAAAACATAAATATGTTTAACAAGGACTACTGCACACAAAGCTATTGCCCTGTGTAACTTCAGAGAGAGAAGAGACACTGCAGGAGAGCTGCGCAGGGACTGGAGGGACAGCACACAGGCAATGGCTGCCACTGCCAGAGGGCTGGGTTAGAAGGGATGGTGGGAAGGAACTGCTGGCTGGCAGGGTGGGCAGGCCCTGGCACAGGGTGCCCAGAGCAGCTGGGGCTGTCCCTGGATCCCTGGCAGTGCCCAAGGCCAGGCTGGATGGGGCTTGGAGCAATTTGGGACAGTGGAAGGTGTCCCTGCCCATGGCAGGGGGTAGAACCCTGACATGAACTTTAAGGTCTCTTCCAACCCAAAGCATTCTGTGAGTCTGTACCTCTGGAAGTTCTTTCATAGTACAGGAGACATTTGAAATAGCATCCATATTATGATTCATGTTTATTGGTAAGCTTAAAGTTTGAGATATAAAAATAATTTATTATATACGAAAAAACATAATAAAAATTCAGATCCTTGAAATAAATTTAAAAATAATTTTTTTAAAGCATCTCCATTGTCACATGCTGCCCAGTACCTGGTTCTTTGTCAGCACCTTCCTATTTCCCACAAGGAAGCTAAAATTAAGCCAGTGACTGTAACCTATAGATGGCGAAAACACTATTTTATGGCAGTGGTGACCAAACATCCCCAGGTACAGGCTGAGGTGTAGTAAACACCTTTTGCTAAAAGGATCAAAAAATCAGAATAAGGGGAAGATGGAAAGACTTGAGAGGTATTTAAGGGAAGAATGGTCAAGGCTGAGGAACAAATAGGAAACATGAAATCAGTACAAGAAAGGTTTCCACAAATAGCAGGCGATGAGTGGATGTGGAAACCAATATAATTTCTGGTTATAACAAGTCACTAATACTATTTTAAGTCAAAGTGATGATGGTATAAATGAAAACAAGTCATCCAAGGAGTTTCAGTAAACAAGGACAGCTAGTTGGGATGAACAACATAGATGATTAGCAGGAAATGCCTGAAAGACAAAGCAAAATCCACACATATTTTCACAAAAAAAGGCAACTGAAAATTTTAAAAGCTGTTAGTGTAAGTAATTAATGAATCACATGCACGAACTTCACTGCAAGAAGATACTCTGCTAGTGGAGAACTTGATCATCCCAAGGCTGCTAAGTATAAACATATGGTAAGATATAGCAAGTTCATGGGTTACTTCACAAATGCTAAATGCTAATGTAAGTGGAGACATTCATCCTGGTTGCCTTAATTATAATTTCTTAATAACAGCTTATTTATGACGATATGAATATACCTGTTCTCAAGAGAAGATTTTATATAAAGAAATAAATTAACCACTTTGACAAATATCTTAAGCAAATATCTCAAGCTCAAATATCTGAAGCTCAGCACTGAAACCTTCCAGAAGAAAAACATATTGTTATATGAAGAATACAGTATATGACCATTAGATAATGGTTACTCTCAGTAATACATAAATATATCAGGGATAAGTTGTGATTGCACATTTAATTTCCTGACTTTTAAATGCTTATTGAAAATGTAACAAACCTTTTAAAAAATACAGCAATGAAAATAGGTAGTAAAAAATATTATTTGTTTTGACATGACACACAATGTAAATTGAAACCAATAGTACATAAAGGGATGTATCTCCTGATAATTATTGAAGAAATAATTTCACTCAATTTGCTCTGAAATGATACCCAAGAATTTGAGTTTAGTTTCTTTTCCCCCTCTTAGACAAAATACACTTATTCTGGCCAAATAACCATCAACTTAACTGATTAAATTTCTAGTAAGATAGTTTTTGTAGTCTCTGATTTATGAGTGAAACAACAAACCAACCTCCTCCCACAAATAAAACAATCCCCATGTTTCCTCCCACCTCTTTGGTGCTATTTTGTGGGGCACATCTCTGCACTTCACCAACCAAAGTGGAAGTTCATGATTCACTCTATGCTGGAGCTGAGAGCAGATTCCATCATGTGCTCTCTCCCACAGGGTGTCCCAGTGAGACAGGAGGAATGAGACTGGGACAAGTTAAGTAGTCTCAAGTAGTACCTTGAGCCCTGCAACATCTCCAGACACATCTTTCTCATCCACCATGGATCTCTGTTGTATATAGAAGCCATCACCCTTCCTGTTTTCCCTCCTTGTAGCTTATTCCCACCTCCTCGCCCTCCCAGAGCCCATTCCTTCTCAGCTCTTTCTTTTACCTGCTTCCACTCCCCCCACCCGCATCTTATCATCACAGAACTATGGAATCGTTTGTGTTAGAAGGGACTCTACAGCTCAACCCACCTTCCCCTGTCCCAGGCTGCTCCAAGCCCCATCCAGCCTGGCCTTGGGCACTGCCAGGGATCCAGGGGCAGCCACAGCTGCTCTGGGCACCCTGGGCCAGGGCCTGCCCACCCTCACAGGGAAAAATTTCTTCCCAATATCCCACCTAATCCTGCCTTCTGTCAGGGTGAAGTTACTCTCCTTTGCCCTACCTGCCCATCTGAGTCTCTCATCAAAAAGAAGCCTGACTTCACTTTCAGCTTTTTGTTCCCATCCTGCCTCTTTATTTATCTCCCTTCTCAGCATCCCAAAATCTTACCTACTTCTTGTTTAACTCTTGTCCCTCTCCTCTACTGCACCATCCCATGTTCCATGCACAGCCAGTCCCAGCCTGTTTCAAATTTCTGCCAACTGCTGTCACATCAGGGCTCCCATTCTTATACATTTTCCTCAACATGTGGAGGTGGCACTTGGAGACTAGAGTCACTGGTGGCCTTGGCAGTGCTGGGGGAACGCTTGGACTCAACGGCCTTGCAGGGCTTTTCCAAGCCAAAGGGTTCTGTGTGGTTTCAACCCCTGCCAAGCAGCAGCAGAAACATCCCTGGGAGCACAGTCCTGTCCCACAGGAGCTGGGAGCTGCATTTGCACAAGCTGCAGCTCATCCCTGCCTATCTCAGCTGATAACATGATCCCTGGGCATGGGAGGATGCACACAGCCCAGATGGCTCTGGGAGCAGCAAAATGAGAATATTCAGTTTCCACAGACGTCAGGCCACCTCCGGCTACGTCTCTGCTGCGCAGATGGAAACAGACTGCTCCCTGTGCCTGGAGACTGATAATTTGGTCACATTTAGTCATATTATCAGCAGCAGAGCCCTGGCACAAAGGCCACCTGCCAAATTTCAGGTTCCTAATGCAAAGCATGAAGTTACCAGGGTTCATTAAGTAACACATTGACAGCTGAAAGCATGGACAAATACATGTTAATGCTCCAGTCTCAGCCCAGAAACCTTCAGTGAAACCTTCCCTGAAACTCTGAAAACAGCAACCTGGGAAAAAAGACAGTTACTGAGATAACTATTCCTTCAAATAGTACGCTACTCTTAAAAATATATATATAAATTCACAGTTATAAAGTTACATACTAGAACCTGTTACCTCTCCTCTACACTGGGGAAAGCAACCTGAGCTGAAATAGCTATTTCAAAAACAACAGCAGCAACCACCACCATCCATTCTGGGTTTCAGAGGCATGAAGCATGAAAATATCTTAAATTTCAAAATCATTTACCTGGAACCAGTGCCCCCACTGACCAATCTCATTGGTTTGCAGTTAACATTAAAAAGATAAAAAAAGGAAAAGCTTAGTCCCTGGTCTTGCAAGAATAATTTTAAAATAAATTAAAATGATTAATTATTCTTTTGAATACCAGGCTCTTGGACAGTTCCAATTTAGGGAGCACAAACTGCAAAGATGCAAAGAGCAGGAGCTCAGTTCTACATACACCAAGCAGTGAGGTTCTCAGTTTCCCACAACTTTACTCATGAGATATTTTTTAACACACTAAAAATAAACACAGCTAAATCATGATTTAGAGTGTATCACCATTTACTACAGCATAATGTGCTACAGTAGCATAATAAGGTTACTGCTACATCAAATACCTTATGATGTTATTTTGATGTCTCATGTAATTTTATTTAGAATTTAATAAATCAGGGACAAAAGATCACCAATACTTGCCCTTCTGGGGAACTCCTACATTTACTTGTTTACTCTGCTATTATAATTATTGTTAATATTAGTGAAAGAAATTGAGTTCTGTGTGGTTACAGTGACCCAACTGCATCAAACCAACTGCAGGGACAGGACCTATGATTTGAATCATATTTTCCAGGCAGTTAAGACCACATTCATTTTAAATAAAAAATGCTTCAGCATCCTACAGAAGTCAAAAAGAGTTTCTGTGGTTTCCTGAGCTCCTTACCAGTTGGTATAATCACCAGATTTATAAAACTTTGCTCACTAAAATTAATCCTAAAAATCAATAAATAAATGTGGGTTAAATGCCACAAAGGAAAATAGCCCATAAATGAACTGTACAGTCATGGTTCTTATAAGAACAGTACACAGGATACACAGCAGAGAGAAAAACAGGTTGATCTAAAATACAGCACATCTTTTTTTCTTCACCTTTTACCCAGGTAATGGAGAGAATAAAAAAATTCTGCTGTAACTGCTAAAATCTGGTATGTACTTGCATGCATGTGGTTTATGAAACTGATGCTAGATGCTTACATTTTACAAAAAGGCCTGACTACACAGATTTTCTGACTCCCATCATTTTGCAGACCTATAATACCCTCTTAGGCTTTAGGAGATGTGGAGTCAATACTTAAGCAAGTATGAGACTAATTTCATACTAAATACAAAAGTTTTTGAACAGTATGAATGAACTTGCTCATTCATACCTGAAAACATCAATTTAATTAATTCAAAGACATGGGTGAGAGGAATGCATTTATAAGTATGACTTTGAAACTTTTTTTCCCCTTACAACTATTTCCCTCCTTGGGATCAGTAGGAATGTGTAGGAGAAGCTCACACAGACAGGCCTGCAGCACCTCACAGCCACCTCTCATTATCCACCTAAGAACCAAATCCAGCAAAACTCTGAACACACAGCACTATTAACAAATGGAACCCGACACTATGGAGCAGGAAAACAACCACAGAGGAAAAGAAGCAGTTACTGAACATCTGAAGTAAAATAAAAAAAAAACTGTGAAGAAAATGGCAGAAGCAAAGGCACAACTGAAGAAAAGATCAGTGCAGGGTAAAAGGAACAAGGTGGGATTTGTGTTTTTATTAAGTTACAACTAGTAAACCAATATCCACATTGCAAGCGAACACTACAACTCTATTGGCAGGGTTAGCTGAAAGGCAGGATAAACCGGACAAGAAAACTTGATTTATGTTTTCATTCCACAGCTGGATCCTCATTAAGGAATTTTAGGGAAATCTTCCACTTTTACTCATCCAGTAAGGAATTTATTGAAAGACTTATTGAATTTATTTATTGTGTAAAACCTCTAAAATGAACAAAGAGTGATAGGGGAAGAGACTGAGGCAAGAATGACACCTTGCTGAATTTCAGCTCTCAACAAGCCCAGTTTATGAGAGAGGATAAATGACTCAGTGACACAGAACCTAAAAATACACATCACACATGTACACCTCTGGTGCACATGTACAGGTTCAAGGCACATAGAGTTGAAGGCAGGAAAAAGCTTCAAGAAAATATTTCAGTCATCTGCATGGTTACTATAGGTGCTCCTAAAAGCTGCTTTCAAAGAGGTATTCCCAGGAAACTGCATTTAAATAATCTCTTCCTGCTTTCTACACACAGAGCTATAAATAATATGAAATAATATTCATAATATGAAATTTCAGAGAAAAAATACTGTAAGTCCGGAAATTCACCTGGGAGAGAGTTCTGTTTAGGAACCTTGAAACTTGCTTTCAGCATTTTGCATTTCAATAATTTCAAAAAGATAATAATTCACAAAGATAATAATTTCCCCAAAAGAGAATTTCTGTGTCCAAGTCAAAAAATTAAAGTAAATCAGTGCAAATATCTCATGCAGTATCATAGCTTTAGAAGCTGGGAAACTAGGACATAATTGTCCAAAGTATTCTCCTGCACAGATGGTCAAGGTCCATCAAAGCTAGTAAAAATTTGGATCCTGTTATATGGACATAAAATAGAAATTAATCTAACAGAGAGACAGAAAAAGAAGTGCCAAGTAAGGAAGTAACATTTAGTATGGAAAATACAACTCCAGCTAAAGGCTGCATCACACTAGTTAAGCAAAGTTTTTCTAGAGAAATAAAAAATAAAAAAGGTTTCCTGTTTTTTTTCCTCTTTTCTAGGCCCTCCACTTCCATGGCAAACATTCAGCACCTTTGAGGCAGCTTGCCCAGCTATTACTAGGCTAATTTGTAACAGGGAACACCAAAAAAGACAGAAAAAGAGATATTTGCAACAGTTTCTCTACAGGAGGGAGTGTGTTTGTTCATTTCACTCGGGAAAAGTTTTGAAAGCAGTCTTCAGGTTCCTTCTTCTTACAAAAGAAAGATATATCTGCCATCACATTTGGCTGAGCTCATACAACCTCTGATGAGGGAACAGCTTTGCCGACGTATCTTCTTAGAAGTAAATATTTAGATTACTTTTAGAGCCGATGGATTATTTACCAAAACAGCAACTCACCACTTCGTGAATGGATCGGTTGAAGCCATCATCCTCTGTGAGGATCAGCAAAATGATAAGGGCCATGTAAACATGGTGTGAATTCCTTTCTTCAACGTGATACAGAATTTCAAGAATCGGCAGAACCTTTAGGGAAGGAAAAATGGGTGTATCAGTTTAGTCTTCAAATACCTCAGACACTAAACAGAGGAGGCTCTAAAGGTCCCATGTGTTGCCCTGCCCTTGACAATTCATACCAATTCCTCCCTCTTGAAACAACTCCCCGGAGCAGTGGCATACTGGGTCCAAACACCTTCCATCTGCTTCATTTTGTCACACAAGACAGTCTAAACAAGCGTTTTCTTGTGGTCAGAAATGGAATTTCAATCCCTAATAAATGAGATTCCCAGCCACAGCAGTTACCATAACCTCCAAACGCTTCAGTCCTCCTCTCTACGCTACAGGGAGAAGAGAATTGTTAAACAAGATTTTCACCAGTCCAAGAAGGAAAACAGTTGTGTCTACCCATCTGTGCTACCACAAGCCTGCTCTGAAAAGCCTTTCCTCCTCAAACCTAGCCAAAGCACATCAAAGCTGAGGTGAACAGAGACATTTTGAGACATGAAAGTTAAATCCCATTTTGGTGTGTGAAGACAATACCAGAAAAAAATCCCCAGTTTGGGTTTGGTTAAGACTAGAAGAGGCCTGTTTTTCCAATTTTAGATAATATGCAGCCAAAGAGAACTGACTGATCATTATGATTAGAGTTCAGCCCAAGGTCTTGCAACATTTCCACCACGATGAACAGCTTAAGCCAAAGCCTTGCAATAATAATGAAAATGAGATTTCATTGCAACAGCAAGCATACCTGAATGCTAGTCTAAAGTTAATCCAGATGCAAACACTGTCTCTCTACCAAATGAAAATTAGCTTTCTACTGGCTCAGTACAACGTGGCTTCCCTGGGCTGCAGAAATAGGCCGAAATCACAAAAAAGCCCTGGAAAAAGGAACTGGAGAAAGCCCTCAGTTCCAAGAAGCTTCTAGACACCTAAAAATTTGCTGTTTTTCAAAACAGGCCAAAGGCAGCTGGATGAATCATGTGAAACCTATTCTGGTGAGCAGCCAGGACACCAAGTGCTTCACAAGCCTCTGAAGTTACCAAAATGTTCTCTTACAGTCAACCATCCTCGAAACTGTTGGGACATACTAAACCAGTTTTTATTAGAATGAAATGAGATTGATCTGAATGCTGCAGGCCACAAAACCTTTCGACACATGCTTTGGTCAGGGTCAAGACAAGATGACAACAGAAGCAGAGGGAGAATATACTTACAGTAATATTTTTATTAACAGTAAATCAATATTAAAATATTTTTAAAAATTATATGTTGCAAACATCCTTCCCTTGCCATTTCAAAGGATCCTTCAGAAACCTCTCTCTCCAATGGAAACTAGAGTACCATCTTTGTGTCTTCTGAGTAACAGTCTTGAGTAAAGACCAGGTTTTCTCTAGAACTTCTAGTCAGCATACAGACAAAAAAAATTTGTCCTCTTCATTGGATAGGGAGAAAGAGAGACAAACATCACTGTGTTGGTCCACCATTTCAATTGTTTCCATCTCCAACACTTGCATGTAGCTTTGCACTGTAAAAGCTCTGTCATTTCCAAGTCCAAGAGTTATTATAATAAGCTGGATAGAGCTGGAAGCAACATAGCAACATAAAACTAATGAGGAATTGCATTTACAACTTTGCAGGGATAACAACAAAAGCCTTGCTGAAGGTAACCATTGGAACAACTTCTTAGTTTTCTAGACAGATCCCAGATGGAAGCACAGGATGGTTTGGGTTGGAAGGGACCTTTAAAGATAATTGTGACTCAGTCTGGTTGTGTCAAACCATACAAACCACTCTGGCAAAACATACTCCTTCAGAACAGCCCAAAATATCTCCTCTGTCTACACATATTAATACTAATTGTAACTGAAAAAGTCCATTCATATTCTCAAGTGCTCCAAGTCCTGCAAGTGTGTGGCTACAACCTACATTTAAAAGTACATGATACTGAGACATTGCAGCCATTCCCCTACAAGCCAATATGTGAAAGTGCTGTTACTAAAGCTCCATACTTGCTATTGAAGAGTAGTCTGGCACTCCAGATCACGGCAATCAGCCCTCCTGCCCCAAAAAAACCTCTGCTGCTTCCAAAACCTCCACTCCTTTGGCCACATTGTCCTTCCCACTCCTCTTTCAGGCTCTGCTCCATCTACACACTGGACAAAACTCAGGGAGGCATACAGCAATTCTCTCTTATGTGCCATTTCTGAATGGAACCAGAATCAACTCGTACACTTTCCATAATCCTTCCTCCTTACAACATGTCTTTCTTTGTATATTGATTGCTGAGGCGCACACACATCTTCAGGACAAGTATTACTGTTCTCAAAACAAACACTAGTTAACAAGCCACCACTTCTACAAAAAAGTTACAATAAAGATTCAATTAAAATTCTAATCATATGAAAATGTAAAATTTTAAATACTCTGGGGGAGAGGAGTCTTGTGAGGAGTCTTGGGTGGAACCTGGAGGAGACAGTTTTCTTCAAAAGAGTAAGACTTTAGGTAGTTTCCTTGAAGAAGTCTGGGGCTGAAACCTGGGTGTCAGGTCTCCAGAAAAATTCAAAGAACCCTGAGAGATGCCTGGAAGGAATCTCAGGAGGATTCTGGAAGATTCCTCCAAAAGAGAGAACCCTCTCAGTTAATATTTTAATTATATTAAAATTTATCTAGACTTTCAACCAAAATACATTTCTATACTTCTATGCTGCATACATACGTTAAAACTTTTATCATCTTCTAACACAATGGTTTTATCCAACCCTATATTGAGAAGACAGCCACCACTTCTTTTGTATTGCTGACCCTTTTCTCACAGCCATCACACTACCTCTACTGCATCACTACTAACACTTCTCCCTCAGGAGCAGCTTTTAACTGGCCAGAAACAGCCACAATTAAAAAGCTCAAACTTTCAATCCCCAAAACAAGTGGCAGGTAAAAACAGAAACTGAAAATTGCAAGTGCTATATTCAGTCCAAGGCTGGTTTTCCCAGTATAATTTAAAAATAGATTGTCTTTAGTACTCAACAAAACACAAGCAGCAACCTGCTCAAGACAAATTTATACTACAGAAAAAAATATTGTTGTAGCATCAGCTGATATAAATACATCATCATCTATGTTATTTCATTCCAATCATGCTGAGCAGCAACAAAATCTCAACTCAGCCACCAAAGAAAACACATTGAATAGCTCATTTCTTACACACAGAAATCTAGCTGGTATATTTACCTGCAATACTGGTGCTAACTGCTCTTTCAAAGAGAAGGTTCAACAGTCTCCCATCCACAGACCAGAACACTAGCTTATCAAAAAATGTGCTAACTGCCCCCTATTTCATCTGTCCCACCACTTTCTGGAGGATCCCTGCAAGCACTTTGAAAAGGACAGCCAAATACTAGATGTAAATGTCTCTAACAGAAGATTCTCTAGCATCAGACATTTAATCCAGTTATTTTAAAAAATGAAGTAATGAAGGACACACAAAGATCCTATTATTTTGCCAAGCAGAATTACATTAAGAGCAAAAAAGGTTCTTTATTAACAATAAAACACAAAGTCCAACAGAAGGTGAAGGTATTTAGCTATAACTGGCAGAGGGAGATTCATACAAATGAGGAGGTGAGCTGAGACAGTATCTGTCGTACCAGCTAAGAAAAACAAACTTTTAATTTACAAGTTACACTAAAGTTCAAAAAGAGCAGAGACACATTTCAAAAAATCCTTATGAAATGTTACAGAGCACCTTCTGGTGACGCTTCCTGGGCACAGAAAGGGAGACAAATTAAAATGGGAAAACACAACATATGGGATGCACTGAGTGCAGTGGAACAGGAAGAACCTGCAAAAGCCCCTAAAGCTTATCATGAGCTCTGAGCTGGCTGTGGACGTGATCTCTCACACAGAACCTACATACCTCACACCCCATTCATCCAACTGCCTCTGCACAAAGAGGCCACTGATTTACACCACATGCCTTCAAAAAGTCCTCCACTCTCATCCAAAGATCATTTTGACTCTGGATTAATGACCTTACTGTTTTTCTCCCATATCTCTGGATGGTGGGAATCAACCTCCAGGCTTTAATTCTTACCATCCGTCTCTGCAAGCAAAGATTCCTGTTTTTAAAGATTCCCCTTTATGAAGGCACATACACATCCTGATGCTCTCCAAGCTCTTCTCTGACCAGCTAGAGTTAGCTTCCTAGGCTTCTCACAGTGTTAACTTTAAAGCAAAAAAAACTTCCATGTATCTCAACAGGGATCCATTTTTCAATAGTCTGTAACTATTTTTAGTTACTGACTATTGGGAGTACAGTCTGCAAGTGCAACACCAGAACAGTACACAGTGTATCAGCACCACTCTTGCCATACAGAGAAGCCAGCTCCAGTACTTAAGTCCTTTTATCTCATTATCAAGTCTAATGAATTACCCTTTTTCACCACAGGACTGTTGTTAGGAGGTCACGATTTCTTCATTCACTACCCCTCCCAGCCCTCCCAATTCTTTTTGGGTCTGCCTCAGCCTGCCTTACTGAGCAATTAAAACTGCTCTTCCCAGTTGGTTGCAGCTTATCTACTGGCCCAATAAAAATTACAGGATTAGACAAAGATGTCAGTAAAGATCACAAAGAAGCAGCATGAAAAGCAAAATAAGAGCAGTTTCAAATGCTGGAATTGAAAAAAAATTGAAAAAAATTGAAAAAAAAAATCAAAATACTGTTGACTTTTCAGTGATGCTTTTCTGAATTTTTCAGCTTTTCCCATGAAGTGTTTTAAGTTGCTGATAATTTCTGGGATTTTCTGACTTTTTTTTTTTTTTTTTAGGTGATAATATATGAAAATATCCTACACTGGCGAGTATCTGAGTACCTGCATCTTGACTTGTTTTGACAGATGCACCACACTGTTTTTCTGAAAGCTTTTTGTCAAGTGTATCAGACACCATAATTATAAAACAATGCACACACCTAATATTTACTTGTCTAGAGTAACCTGGGTTAGTGGAAGGCATCCCTGCACATGCAAGGGGTTGGAACAAGATGGGCTTTAAAGTCCCTTCCAACCCAAACCATTCTAGGATTCTATGCTGTGAGTCTAAAGATACAGCAAACTGTTATGGTTCGCAGCTGTTAACTTGTCATATCACACACTAGCAGCCCCAAAAATTATACATGGCCATTTGTTCACAGAATTTATGCAAAATGACTCAGCCCTTGCCTACATAACCTGCTGTGGACACAGGAGTTCAGTCTTGAACCAATTCAGCATCAACCATCTCACCCCAGTTTGCCAACAGTGGTGTCTATCAACTCCGATTTTAGCAATACATCTGCTAGAACTTGGACTGAAACCAAACTCACTCCATATCTGCCATCAAACAGGCAAGGGATCTAATTACCTGGCAAGATTTCAAATATTAAAATGGAAAGGGTCCTCTATTCTGTTACCAATTCCCCCAGACAGCCATTATCTTATTAAAGGAATGCTTTTTAATAAGTAAGATTTGTTAAAGTGGTTTGTGACATTACTAAAGAGGGGAGCATAAGCTAATTTATAACCTACAAAACCATACCAGGTGTCTGTTATATTGGCCATTAACCACAATCCTATTTAAGCAGCTAAAAAGGCACTACAACTGTACTTCTATAAAATCTGTGAGCTACTCCTTGAGGAGTTTCAGTCTTAGGTCAACCCTGTAAGACATCTGGCATGTTAGTCCAGTTACAGCTCATTTTGTTAACTATTACTCCTGAAAGCACAGATACAGCTTGTGCAACTTTTTGGCCTGAATATCCAAAAGAGATAAATAAAATAATGAATGGAATAATATCTGCTACCAATTTCTCTACGTAATGATCAGAAGTGGGCAGGCTTGACTGGGGTCATGATAGTCACACAGAGAAAGAGGGAATCCAAGATGGTCTTCTAGTTTTAGCAGTGCCAGCCTTGACTGCAGTGATGCGCTCAGACGTACATTCCTGAGATGATGTAACAAAAATGCATAAGTGAGCTAGAACTGGAAAATGAGTGATCCAGAACCTATTGCTCCCACTGCAGAACAGAGGACACTGGCAGCTGGTGACACCCAAGCTTGCAGGGCCAATCCCTCGTGAGGAGAATAAAGGAGGCAGAGCAAGACTCACCAGATTTTCTATGTCTGTCCGTGCCAACACATAGGTCCGCACGTTGCTGTTCTGATGCAGGAGCATGTACAAGAGAAGAGTGGCTTGATCAGATTTCTGCTGCTCACATAAAGCTGTGTATAAACTGTTAAAGTTAATCTGGAAAGCGTGTGGATTTGATGATGAAAAAGCGGTGTTATCTGAAATAAAGAAATAAAATAAAGTCTTAACAAATACATTTATCATTCAGTTATTTGTTAATTTTATAAAATCTCTGGGGGAAATATTTAATACACCACAAAAAGAGGAAACAAAAATCACCCATGACTCTTATTACCAATGGTCATAAACCATAATAGAGTCTCATAAAGCTTCAGTTGTGCCAAAAAGCCGAGGTTATCCTCCCATATGAGCTTCAGTAAGACCCCAGTACCTGCACAAAACATTCACCTTTTTTCATAAAACAAGTTTGTCCCTCCATATGACTTCCACTGCTAAGAAGGAATGTGATCCCAGGAGCTGCTTGAAGGGGGACAGACACAAGGTCTTCTCTGGAAACAATACCGTGATTAAATTCCAAACCCTGCACATCAAACTTACAGGTTTAGTTCTCTGGCATTAAGGCAGAGTATCTCCCTTCCATCCCCTTCTTGGTATAAAGGGTGGATGTGCATAGGTCAAGATTACTGTGGTATCTCAGTGAAATGTAAGTGTCAGGACTTTAGAGGTGTGTGGTGGAGAGTTTGGTGAGTTAAGTGATGTAAAACATTACATCACATTGTCTGACATCCCTCAAAGTAACACATTTTCTGTTCACAGAACCTTTACCAGCCTCAACAAAAACGTCCATCTGCACAGACCCCTAAGGTCTAGAAATTCCCTGTGGAAACAGAAAAAGCTAGTACTTACAGGGGGGTTTGGAGAAGATAGAGAGTGCAACAATTTTTATATGGGCAAATAGGCATAGGACGAGGGGGAAGGGTTTTAAACTGAAAGACAAGATATTGAGATGAGAGATCAGGAAGAAATTCTTCCCTGTGAGGAAGATGAGGCCCTGGAACAGGTTTCCCAGAGAAGATGTGGCTGTCTCTGGATCCCTGGCAGTATCCAAGGCCAGGCTGGACAGGGTTTAGATCAGCCTGGGATAGTGGAAGGTGCCCCTGCCCATGGCAAGAGAGTTGAAACTGGGTGATCTTGAAGGTCCCTTCTAACCCAAACCACACTGTGGTTCTACGATTTTAAGACCATATTCTTATTGAAGTTTGCTAAGTAGCTTTCAACACAGAAGAGCATGGCAGTCGTCATGTATTTTGAACATTTCCACCCACTTTGGATGGAAAAAGTGCTTGGAATTGCTGCAGGAGCCCTGCAGGAGCCCTGGCTGCCATTGGTTTTGTGGGGCCCAGCAGACAGCATGCTGGGGAGTCACCACTCCTCTTGGCCAGGGCAAGGGGGGACAGCTCCAGCCATTGAGCTGGAGGCAGCAGGAGGCCCTGGAGCAAACACAACTCTTGCCTGCAAGAGTTGGGAACCACACAGAGATGCAGCCCCGCGGTGATGGAAACACTGCCTGTCCCAAACCCACGCAGCCGCGGGTGCAGGAGAGACTCCAGCCTGGCCTTCCTCAACTACTGACCATGACTATGGACCAGTCTGTTTAAAACCTTCCCGCTTTGGGCAGGAATTTCCCTTCAGGAGGAAAAACCTGGATGTAGACAGCAAATCAGAACTATTCAGTCCTTGGTGCCACAGGTCATTAGCTGAGAAGCTCCCCTTGGCTTTGCCGCTTCACTTCTGAGGATGTTTAAGGTGTGCCACTGGGATTTACAGCATCAGTTTTATTAAAGGATACTAAAAAGTCCAGTAAAATAAAAATCTAAACAGAATTAAAGAAGCTTACCAGCAACACCAGCACATCCTGTATTATTCTGCAGAACATTAAGCTGATCAACAGAAAAATTAAACTATTCTAAACCATGTACAAAAAAAAACCCTATCCTGAATTCTTCTAGTTTTGTCACAATTAAATTATAGAAATTATTTTTTTAAATGCCAATTTTCCTTTTATAGTATATATTATGACTGCAACCAGCTTCTTTTTTTCCACATTACTTTCCTCTTACAAACCCCTTAGAATGTTCACAGAAATCAAATTTAAACTCAATTATGAGTATTGCTAGTGGGAACAAGTTTCTGGGAAACAATAAGTCATTCTATCAACACACATGTAGAGAAAATATAGCTTTTCATGCTACATTTGACACAAAATAAGTTATTTCAAAATTTTATAATGATATATGTATAGTGTGCTTTAATGAAATACATTACTGGCTACTGGTGGCACGAAACAAAGTCAACCAAAATACAACATTAAAGAGAGCTTGCAGTTTAAAGACACAACAGAACAAAAACTGCATCAACAATTTGATCTCAACCACCTGTAAATGCTATCCAATAAATCAAAGAAGCATGTTAGGACTCAGAATTCTTCTTATGAGAACAATCCTCCACCTTCACAACCCAATACATTTTCCTAGGTAATGGTGAATTAATTTAGAGCTCAACCTGGTTAAAACTTAATGGATAAAGGAATACAAAAAATCCCCAGAAGAAAGTGCATAACTCAGGATATTACTGTGGCTTCACAGGTTGTCACACAGCTCCTGAGCCCTGTGCACAGTGCCAACCTGCACAAAGCCAATGAAAGGTAAAACCACATGGCTCAGATTCAGAGATTTAAGTGCGGATAAAGTACACATGGAAAATGGCAGAGTCCCCATCCCTGCAGGGATTTAAAAGCCGTGTGGATGTGGCACCTGGGGACAAGGGGCAGTGGTGGCCTTGGCAGTGCTGGGGAATGGTTGCACTTGGAGGGCCTTTCAACCTAAAAGATCCTGTGCTTCTGTGAAAGGCACAGGCTGCATACTGAGCTCCCTAGACAGCACAAGCTGTGTTAGGGCACTCCCATGTCCCAAACAAGACCCTTTGTGAGTCAGTGCCACATGGCACCTGCAGTTACCTGACACACAGACTGGAACCTGCCTTCTCAAAACCCAGACAAGCACCAAAACAACTCTGAAACCTCTCATACATACAAAACTCATGGAAGTGTTTATGTTAAACATTTTTTTCTTACATTTAAAATACAAGAATACACTCAGCAAACACAGGTAGCAATTTAATTATTTACTTTCTCTCTAAGGACCATGACTCCAAGACAAAAAGTTCTACAAATTTTAGGGGACCCGTGCAGACTCTTGGATAACCAATTTACTTATAGGTTAGTTTTATGTATATTTTATGAAATTATAGAGTCACAGAATCATCAAGGTCAGCAGAAACCTTCAAGAACTTCTAGTCCAGGAAGTAAATTGGACCAGGATTATGAAGCTTTCTAGTGTTTCTCAAGTAAGAAGAATAAAGTATCCTCCCTCTTCCCTCACCACTAAGTTCCAGCAGCTGAGGAACTCCACCTCAAAACTCCCAGAAAAAAATGTGTTATTACTGCTCTTCCATGAGTGTGCTGGAAGGACAACAAATCTTGGAAAGAGAACCTCTAAGCAATCACAGCATCTCCAAACTCCACTTCATCCGTTCAGGCTCAGAAGTAAGAACAGACACAAACCTTGGGTGTTCTTGAAGGACATGATGGCTTGCCTGTAGGGGTTCGGGGTGTCTGGAGTGTCAGTCAGGTTGGCCAGGACCAGCAGCAGCAGCAGGCTCTGGCTGGCTAGAGGGGAGCACTGCTCCAGCTGCGCCGACGCTTTGCTGCCCACCCCACCCAGCGTGAACACTGTCCACAGGCCAGCTGCAGAGGGAAAAAAAAAAACAACAAATAACAGGTTTGGTCATATTTTAATAAACAAGGCTATTTTAGAGTGCAGGTTTAGTTTAGATATTGGAACAAAATCCTTCCCTGTGAGGGTGGGCAGGCCCTGGCCCAGGGTGCCCAGAGCAGCTGTGGCTGCCCCTGGATCCCTGGCAGTGCCCAAGGCCATGTTGGATGGGATTTGGAGCAATTTGGGACAGCGGAAGGTGTCCCTGCCCATGGCAGGGGGTGGCACTGGGTGGTCTTTAAGGTCCTTCCACTCAAACCATTCTCTGATTCCAAAACTGTACATTATCCATGGACAGCTCCAGTAGTAAGGCATAATGTATAAAGCCAACGTAATGTCCCCAGAGGCTGCTTGAAAAAACTCTCATTATCACATTGCTTAAACTTTGATGATTGATCCTCAAATGCAGAGTCATTTTCACACTTACAGCACTAAAAAGAATTAACTCCAATACTAAACTACTGCATTTGAAATTCCTGTTCCTAATTACAGCAGCGCTGGTGAAACCAAATGACCAGCTACGTGCCCAAATACTGATTAGAGGAGAAGGAGCATCAGAGGAGGATTAAAGGACTCCCCTCATCCCTCTCCAGCAAGTCCATTAGTCCTTATACCCTTGCCACTGCTCATGGGAGTGTATTTCAGCACTGAAAAAACTAAGAAAAGCACTAAAACTGAAACAGAGACGCTGCAGACTCATCATTATTGGAGTACAAAGTCAGAGGAAAGGATAAAACCTCTGCGTTTATCACATCTGGGCTCTTGACACATTCATTCCAAGGGGATAAGAAGCAGTCCCCCCATCACACAGTATTAGATTCACCCCAAATGCCTGCCTAGCAGTTCATTTTTTTTGAATGTATCTTGAAATTTTATGACAGAGACTAAGCATTTAATCAAATTATCCATTTAACAGGTCAAAGCTTTGAGTTATACAGGTTAAAAAATAGTAAGTTTTACTTAAAAACAGATAAATCCTTATTTCCTCTTTTAATTAATGCTTAAATCAAATTAAATACAACACACCTTCTTAAAGAAAACAGAAAAATTAAGGAAGTTTAGTTTCCAGTCTTCTAGTTGTCAGGATTCAAGGTGTAAATGATAAAATCTTGTAAGCCATTTGAATGCAAAATACTAAAATATAACCAGTTAAAAGAATTTCAAGTACCCTTAGCCCTACAAAATTTCAAGCCATTCAATGAGTATTTTTTTTTCAAATGTAATTATACAGTCAGAATATGTAACAAACCAGTGCTCCCTCATTAGGACAATTGCAGGACAATTACTGCCAAGTCATAGGCAAGGGGACTAATGCCACTCAGTGTTCGGCAGCTTGAGAGTTCTTATAATAAAAAGTACTATAATTGCAGCCTTCTTAGCAAAAATTTCATGTTACATTAGTAACCCTTTATCACCATGTTTTTCATCCACAGTTCTTATCAGAATGAATGATGCTGACCATTAAGTTTTTCATATGAGTTAACCAGAGAGGTAACATGCAAAGAAACTATTTTAAAAACCCTGAAACAACTGTACATTTATCATCACATGTTAAAGAAATTAAAATTCATCGTATTTCCATTCTTAAATTTTAGTGTAGGTCTGGTTTTTAATTTTCTACCACCCCATCCTTCTGTGGCTGCCGTCTGCCATTACTCCTTTCCTCAATAGTTAGGAAAAGAGGGATATGGCCAAAACACCAGTGATTAACCTGAATCTTCCACCAGGGACAACAAGCTCACGATGTCCAAGAGACATCTGCACATGAATATGTGGCCCAAGTAACCTCCTGAAGTTCTCTTGTGTGTTGGCAAATCCTCCAGAAAACCAACCCGATGTAACAGTTCATAACATTCCTTTCAGTTGGGAGGGCAGCATCACATTAGGTGCTAAGTATTGGCTGATGCTTCCAACACACTCAAGTTAAAAACATTTTAAAGGAAAATATTATTTCTGATCATAAACATCACATCAAAATGCTAAATAGGTAAACAGCCTGTGAGGACAGAGGAACAGGAAGTTTCTAGCTCTATGTAGCAGTATGTTCAGAATACGTGAAATATTACTTTGTTAAACCTAATTTTAAATTTATGCATATTTCAAAATTACAGGACTATATTTAACTTCTTTAACACACAAAACAAAGTAACTTATGCTGCACTCTCTTAGAAGCTTTTCATTATATTCTTTTCAGATCTGCAGTTAACAGAAAACACAGAAGAACAGACACTGATACAGCGTGACAGAATAATCTTTCAGATTCTGCTTCTTCACAACATCACAGGAAAAAAAAAACCAAAATAAAAGGAAGAAAATTTCATGTTTAAAAGAGATGAAGGCCAGGTTGGACAGGACTTGGAGTAACCTGGGATAGTGGAAGGTGTCCCCATCCATGGCAGGGGTGGGAATGAGATGAGCCTTGAAATCCCTTCCAACCCAAACCATTCTAGGATTCCATGATTTCACGAAAATTCTTGTTTAAGCCAACAGGATAGCCACAGATGACTGCAACAGTATTAGTTCTGCCTGGCATCATTACAGGCATGAAGTGAAATTTGCCTAAATGCTGGGTTTCTTTCACATTGAGAGTTGTTTTTTTTTTTTTTTTTTTATTTTACTTCTATCCTCTTGTCATTTTTTTCTACACCACAAGAGAAATACAAATTCCAGATGTTTTTGTAAGGCTTTCTACATCTCTGGGTGGTGGCAAAAATAAGTTAGGGTTCTCCAAACTAAACCACTAAACTCTGAAAAGGAGGGAAGGGTAGATTATCTGAAATAGCGTCATGAGGCACACTGCTTCTGAAGATTTATAAAGTCTTCAAAAAGCCCTACGGTACCAAATACTACCTTTCTGGTCCCAATTATAAGTCTGATGAAGTCAATAATCCACAACTCTAAAACAGCCTCTTCAGCGTTGTTGTGGTTTAACACCACACACCAACCATTCTCTCCTCTCTGGTGAGATGAAGAAGGGAACTGAGAGAAAACACAAAACTCGAGGGTTAAGATGAAGGCAATCCAATAGAACTGAAAAAGAAGGGAAAATGATGATGACAATAACAATAATGACAAAAGAATATACAGAGGAGTGATGCACAGTGCAGGTGCTCACCACCTGCTGCAGATCCTGAAGCAGTGTCCACCCACCCCTGGGCAACACCCCCCAGTTTTGTTGCTCAGCATGACAGGATATGGAATATTCCTTCAACCAGTTGGGTCAGCTGTCCTGGCTGTGTCCCCTCCCAGCTCCTTGTGTCTAAAGAAACCTTGAAGCCCACCCCATTCTAACCCCTGCCATGGGCAGGGATGCCTTCTGCTATCCCAGGTTGCTCCAAGCCCCATCCAGCCTGGTCTGGAACACTTCCAGGGATGGGACAGCCACAGCTTCTCTGGGAAATCTGTGCTAGGGCGTCCCACCCTCACAGACAAAAATTTATTCTGAAATTACGAGAAGGTGACAAGTGCTTGATGCAGAGTAAGCATGACTTAGCAACAGCTAAAACATCAGGGTGGTGTCAACATTACCCAGCACTGCAACCATATCCAAGCTGAAAACAAGACAAACATTTAGGTATTTGAATCACTTACTTCACTTGCACAGTTTGCTGTTTTCTGCAGAATACTTTCAATTGCATTTCTCTAATATTTGTCCATCATTTCTAACTGTGTCCAGCTCTGGGCTCCCTAGTACAGGAGGGACATGGAGCTCTTGGAGCAGGTCCAGTGGACAGTGACACATATACTGAAGGGCCTGGAGCATCTCCATGCCCAGGACAGGCTGAGGGAGCTGGGGCTGTTCAGGGCTGCGAGAGGGCCCTCAGCCCTGGGTGTCCCTGCGTGTCCCTGCGTGTCCCTGGCTGTCCCCGGGTGCAGGGAGGGTGAGAGCAGGGCCCAGGCTCTGCTCCAGGCCCAGCAATGGCACCAGAGCCAGGGCAGGACCCAGCAATTCCCCTGCACAGGAGGCACAACTTCTGTCCTGGGCAGAGACAGAGAGGCGTGGAGTCTGCCTCACCAGGGACGTTCCAGAGCCCTCTGGACACAATGCTGTGTCCTGTGCCCTGGGATGGCCCTGCTGGAGCATCTGACCCCTGGCCCTGGGGTCAGATGTCCCACTGTAGGCCCTTCCAGCAGTCAACCAGCTCTGGGATTCACTGATTTTACTTTATTTCTTGACTCAGTCTCACAGGGAACTGCACTGCTAGTTTTGTCAATTGGAGAACTGTAAAATTCTGCCAGTTATTTCTGGAAAATACTCTAATACTTTAATAAGAAACTGAATGCTTTTATCTTTAAAACGAAATCAAAATATTCATTTTTGCCTTTCTCTTTCACCAAACTAACCACCACAGGCTTTTTTGCCCTGTTCATACAACTCTATGTAAGGCAGAGCAAGAAAAGCAGGTCATAAGAGCAAAGTATGTTATTTTGCAACAGAGAAGCTGAGATTTTCTGTAAGATGGCTAGAAACAGAGTTTACAGCCATGAAAACAAACCCAGCACTTTAATCTAGTTTGACAGTCTGTGAAACAACACTTAATGGCAAAATGAAGTTATGACACAGTCATCAAAATAGAACTTTCTTTCACCTGACTGTAATTTGATGTAAACACAACTCTGCAGAAACCTCAGCCTAATGCCTGGTCTCTGTTACACAATGAGATACAAGTAAGGTTCATGTTTGTACCTACTTCAAAAAAGTTTAAACATACTTACTTATAGTTTCAAAAGAATAAGAAGAATTTTAAGAGTTTGACTTTGAAGACATTTTGAAACTAAGAGCGCAGAAGGTACGCTAAAAACTCATCACACTCATATAAAGCATTGCAACTTTTAGTCAACAACTTCTAACACTGTCTACCATTACTTTAAGTCAGAAGATCAACCGACTGTGAGCTATAATTGATTTTTGAGCTCTCCTGGATTAGTTATTAAACTAGTTGTAATTCTTCTGCAAAATGTATTATTCACC